TGGCATTACAGCCCTTGAACATATAGATATATGAACTCAAGAGGTGTCTCACACGGATTCTAGAGGTGGCTCACATTGTAGCACTTAGTTCCGTGTAGCACTTTGTTTCATATTAGAATGGCATAAGCCCTTATCAGATTGGCATTAAGCCCTTAAAACATATTGGCATTAAAGCCCTTGGACATGCATATATGAACCCAAGAGGTGTCTCACACGGACTCTAGAGGTAACTCAACTCGTAGCACTTAGTTCCGTGTAGCACTTTGTTTCATTTCATAACAACTTATACAGATGGCCATGAGCCTCACAATTTTCACATATGTATGGACTCAAGAGGTGTCTCACACTGTAGCACTCACAATAGCACTATAGTATGCACTTTGTTCCATACCAATAATTAGCAGGTCTTACAGACCCAAACCATACATAAATGTCATACCATAACGGAAATAAATTCATACATATGCATTATGCTTGAATCATTAACAGAAATCAGAATTCATACTTACTTATACTTAGCCTTTTAATAGCGCTGGCAAATCAAATAAAAAAAGCATTCTTGTTAGTTCCATAAAGAAATTCCTCAACATTGTGAACTTATAGTACTCTTGAACTTGTACATATATAAGCATGTAACGTAGCTTGTAACATACTTACGCTTGTATCGTACTTAAACTTGTAACATACTTGGACTTATAACATGCGTATACTTGTAATATACTTGAATTTATAACATACATGGACTTATAACATACTTAAACTTGAAAACTTGTAACACATTTAAATTTGTATATACTTGTACTTTGTAACCTTACTTAACTTGTACATATTGGAACTTGTCACACATATATAAACTTGTAACATTCTTGACTAGAGCATACGTAAACTTATAAAGACTTAAACTTAGAACATACTAAACTTTAACTTAATTATTTGAACCACGGTATTATTACCCCTGGGTAAGGGCCTTGTGCAAAGATGATGTGAATACTTCTACATATATGAATAATCATTAAGTTAATAGAAAACAAAGCTTTTCTTGTTTATCATGTCATTATCATGCACTTAACAAAATAGAATGATTCATATTCTTATGTGGGTTGCATGCTAATGGTAAACCTTTACATTCCTATCATAGATTCTAAACGTTCTTGGATCCCTTCGTAACATAATCTTAAATTCCACAACATCATTCTTCAAGGCTGAACATAAGTTCCACTTATTCTTTAAGAAATAACATACTATACTGATAAATAACAAAGGGCTAATATTCGTCATTAACGGAATATAGAATTCCAAAATCATACCGACGTACGCAAATCTTTCAGCGTTCATATAAGTTCACATTGCTTTCCAATTGTCATAATTGTTTGAAATATACTTCAAAGAACAGAGGATTAGTGACAATAATTGTCAATAGTATTAAAATGTACATTTTGTACTACTACTCACAGTGCTACAACGGAGTGCTTGCCCCTCCTGGAGTGTGCCCTGTACATACACATAATTAGTCATTAGTTCTTTTGCTTTCTTAATTCTTTCCTGCTTTAGTTTACTTCGAATGAATTTACAGCATCTTAGGGACATCAAACACAAATCTAAAAATACCAGAGGGTTAAGCAGTAAAACCGAGCAAACAAATTTTTGCAGCATGGGCCGCACGTGCGGCTGTGAGCCCCGCACGTGCGGCAGTGCTTCCCGCACGTGCGGCAAGAAGCCCCGCACGTGCGGCGATTCTGGAGAAAGCAGTCCGAAAATGCAGAAAAACCCAATTTTTGATACATTTTTCAAGGCTCAAAATAGGTTCTTTTAATTGATGAAACATGGTTAAATCATGTAAATAGGAGCTATAACATAGATCAATCTTCATACAATTTGGACTTTTGATCTTAACTCACAAACACAACTTAACTTCATAACATTCCTATCTTCTCACACATAGCTATATATACACACATGATCATTTAGCTACAAATCAAACTTCAAAAACGTGATTCTAATTAATCATTCACCACATATTTGTTCCATAACATAAACCCTAACTTGTATAACATAAAGAACTTTCTACTTAGTTATCAAAGAGAGGAACCATTAAGAATGAATTACACATACCCTCCATTAAAATCTTTATAACCCCTTTAATTTCCCAATCTTCTTCCTTGGAAGCTTCTTCTTCTTTCTCCCAATTTCCCTTTTATTAAAACATAATTTACAATGCATTTAACAAAGTTCAATCGCAAAATTTAAACATAATTTTCAAACATAACCAAATTCCAATTAAACTTGAACACATCTAATTCAACTTACCACTTTCATGATTCAACTATCAATTTGGGCCAAATCATGGATTATCATCAAAAACAACCTAGGGTTTCTAAGAAATCTACAAATTTCAAATACAATTTTAAATCTTCTTAACCCATTACTTTTGATTGCAAATCTTCTCATTTATTAGGCACCCTAGGTCAATAACCCATAAACCATACTCTAAACCCCATATAGAACCCCAACATACCCCAACATACCTCAAAAATTTCGAAATTCATTCGGTAGAAAGTGGTGATCTCCTCTTATTCTCATCCTTGATGCAAGATTCATGGTTAATTTGTTGAGAAAAGTGGAGGAAATCAAGGTTTTGGGAGCTAGGGTTTCGGACATGGAAGAGGGAAGAAGAAGAGAGGAAAAGAAAATCTAAGAAATGACTCAAAAATCACGTTTTTGAGCTGCTGCCCCGCACATCGCCGCACGTGCGCCGCATTTCCCGCACGTGCGGTTCTGCTTCCAGCACAGATATGAAAACTTCAAACGGCGTAACTCTCTCATCCGGACTCCGTTTTAGGTCATTCTTGTGCCCAAATTGAAGCCCCGAAAATAAGCTTTCCAATGGTTCTAACCTCACATCCAAATTCCAAGTGTGGAACAAGAAAAGGGCAAAAGAGTGACGGTTGGTCGTAAACGAATTATTCAAATTAAAGTTTTTGATCCAATCTTACTTTACCATCATATTACCACCACAATCAATAGCCCAAAATAAAATAGGGAGTTCCAAATACACTAATAAAAATGCCACAGATATAAATCACTTTTCACAGAAAGCAAGTAAATGCACAGAATAACAGATCGAAAATATACTAGAAACAGATATGAGGGTTGGGTTATTACACGACTACTGAGAATACCTGGAGTCTTACACACATCATCTCTCTGCGTATCACACACATAGGAGATGGAAGAAGGTAACCTCTCAGCGTATCACACGGAGAGAGAAAAGGTAAACTTCTCAGCGTATCACACGCAGAGAGAGAAAGGCAAATTCCTCACGTATCACACGCAAGAGAAACACTCTCAGCATATCACACGCAAGAGAGGAAAGGCAAATTTCTCAGCGTATCACAACGCAAGAGAAAACCTCTCAGCATAAAACATGCAAGGGAGGAAAGATAAATTTCTTAGCATATCACACGCAAGAGAAACCTCTCAGCATATCACATGCAAGAGAGAAAAGGGAAGCTTCTCAGCGTATCACACGCAAGAGAAACCTCTCAGCATATCACGTGCAAGAGAAGAAAAGGTAAATTTCTCAGCGTATCACACGCAAGAACGAAAACCTTCAGCATATCACATGCAAGAGAGGAAAGGTAAATTTCTCAAGCGTATCACACGCAAGAGAAAACCTCTCAGCATATCACATGCAAGGGAGGAAAGATAAATTTCTCAGCGTATCACACACAGAGAAAACTCTCAGCATGATCACATGCAAGAGAGGAAAG